GACATAAAAAAGTGGTATCGTGCCATCTCTACTATAAAACCACATGCTGCGTCTCCTGAGAGAACCGAGGCACAGCAAGGTAATTATTAAAAGATGGAGACAGAGATGCAGAGACCTTTGTGTCTGTATCTGTCTCATCTGGGTTTTTGTGCGCCTCACTCTTCAGAGACAGCTCAGTCTTTGAATTGTCTGTTTCCTTGTCAGAAGAGGAACTGAAAACCTGGGAGACAAAGATGAGGAAGTAGTAAACACGGGAAAAAGATGTGGCAGTAAGCAGATGTGACAGATGCACGCTGACAGGAAGGAAGATTGGAAGCTGAGCGCAGAGATAAAAGGGCAGGTATCCTGGCAAACAGAGGGGCACGTTTTAATGAATGTGTGCACTTTATATGCACGCAATCACATTGTGAAACGTAGCAGAAAAGGCCCAAAAACACACAGCGAAGTAAATGAGCGGAAAATGGAATCAAAAAGCTTTCCCCAAACCAAACATGGTCACAGAGCAGGGCGGCTCATAAAGATCCTTGGTTATGAATTCTAAACATGCCGTTTAGATTCCAGCTGTGAGTCACAGATGGAGGGAAGTGAAACGGGACAAAGAGTTGGGCTCCACGCTGCAGGTGGGTGTGGGTGATAAACTCGACTCTCCAGGCTGCTCTCTAAGCTCTCGGCCTCCACCCGACTAATGATGAAAAATGGTTTGGGAGCTGGATGACTGATAAGACTTTTTCTGGGACCTCTTCTCTCGACTGGCGTTTATTCTTAAACTGTAAATGGGGATTACTCTGGCAGTGTTTCCCTGCCTCTCGACTCTCTCGCTCCCCGCCACTGCTGCTCTAAAAGCCAGGGGGATAACAAGCTCTTAAATAAGTAAGGAGCCAGAATGGATAGGCCCTCCCTGGTGCAAGCGGAGGATAGGAGGATGGCAGAGTCACTTCCTTTTAAGAGGGCTATCCCCTCGGGAGTCATAGAGGAAGCTTATAAAAGTGAAGCACACAGATGCCACCTCCTTTTCCCTGCAGTCGTATTCTGTTGTTTTCTGTACAGTGTGTACAGTGGGGTCTGTGTTTGAGCTGTGAGTGGATGCTGTGGAAGGTGGACTTCAGGATCGTTTGCTGTGATTAATTTTTTCCTGATGCTTATTTTGTTAGATGAAGTTTTAATTACCCCATTAGGGAAATGACATTACTACGTAAGCAAAACAAACAAGAGGGCGATAGTTTTCGTTAGAGATGGCAAGATACCACTTTATGTCAGATACCGATATCATAAATTCGGATATCTGCCGATACGATATAAATCCGATATAGTGTGTTTTATAATGAATAAAGCGGTTTTTAAAAAAATATCTTGCTGCATTTTGTATAAGTTGATACTCAAGTTTTAAAAAAACCAAAAAAAAAAACAAGCAAAACTAAAGCTAGTCTGTTACACCTGTATGCAAAAAAATACACTGCACCCAAAATATTTCATAGTTCAGCAACACTGATCAATCTAATAAACCTGCTCCATCCTCCCTATTCTGGTTTGTTAAAGAGTACTTAGTGGAAATATTAAATAACCTACCTAATGGGGTTGCCAACTCCCCAGCAAAAAAAA